CTGTAGGTGGCTATTGTAGTGAACATTGATAGATTTATTTTGGTAGTTTTGAATTTGAATATAAAATTAACATTTTATATTTTATCTTTCCAATGAAGGGCCTCTACCACTAATCCAATTTGTCTTGGCATTCTTTTCAAATTTTATTTAGTCTTTGTCTTCTGTTCCCACTTACTTTCCTTTTTCTTTTCCTTTTTATTAATTTCCCCTTAGTGGTCTTACCCCTTGTGGTCTGACCATTTTTCCTGAATGTCTGCCCTTTCTTATCTCATTCCACTGTTCTACTTTGGATTTCATGGCTTCTGTCCCTCAATTCTTTAGTGAAAAAGTACATTAGGAATTGCTCTTTCTAAAATCCTATTTTGACCTGATTGTTTTCAGAAAAACAAGACCACTTGTCGACTTCCTCTATGTAAAATGAAGTGCTGGGATTGGGTTCATGCTTCTTAACCTTTTTATGATGGCAGCTTAATTGCTGACAGCATCCAGTGCTGAACTCACTTTCATGGGTACCTGGTAAGGGATGTGTGGGTCATGATTCTTCACAACGTGGTAGCTGTAATCTTCTTTTTCTGTCCAAATTAGAAAGCAAATTGCATTGCAAATGATATAATGTCATAGGGATAATCTTAAATCTATTTTCATTATTTTTATGTCAATTCTTTGAAAATTTTAACTATTATTAGTAACATAATTTTCCTGTGGCTCAATTGACTATATCCACTGGACTAAATGATGTTTAATAAATATCATTTTCTGCTACAACATTAAATGCTTCTAGAAATAGTGTTCAATAGAGGAATGAACCTAATAGTGTCAGTAAGATCAGGCAATTTATTTAGCTTCACATCAGCTTAAACTCTGAAAACGCCATTCTTGCCTTCATTTACATAGTTTATGTATTTTTTGACTTCATTGGCCTTATTCCTTTTATCTTCTCATTTTCTACCTCTCCACTAGCACCTCCTGACCTTATTTCTCTGCTTGACCTAGATTGAATGGATGATCACCTGCACTACTCTCTTGCATAAAACCTTCAACATCTTTAAACTTCTGTACTTAGGTCACCTGGGTTCAGAAACTCAGAACCCCTGGATCGATTCCCATTTATCATCACATTTTCTGCATCAGGGGTACAAAGTGCTGCTGGATAAGAGACTACAACTACACTGATTGTATTCCTGCAAGTTCCTTCTTCATTCTCAGCTTTTAGCCATTTAAGAAAACAAATTCTAGTTGTACCCACTCTCACTCAACTACTGGTTGCCCCACTGCTGCATCACTAACCTCAAGCTTTCTTCCAACTTCTTACTCTCACTCTCCCGGATCATTTTGTCTGATTTATCAACAGAAATGGAAAGATCAAATGTAACTTTGCTAAACCTTCTACTCTGTTCCTCGTGAGCGACTTACATCCACCTTCATTCTCCCAAACTCCCCTGGCCTCACAAGATGAGGCAGCTTTATTCCTATTGAAGGCTAGACCCTTCCCTTTGCTGTTCATCTTATCCACTCCCATCTTCTTTGTCCTTATATCCTCTTTATTGTATCACCAACCTCTTACACTCTACTAATTATTAATCAATAAACATGCTTAATTGTTGCCCATATGAAAGAAGGAAGGAAAGAAAGAAAGATAGGAAAGACGGAAAGAAAGAAGAGAGAAAGAGGAGGAAAGAAACCTAAAACCAAAGAGCTATCACCACCGCTACCTCCTTTGACCCTGTGATCTCTTCTGGTTTTAATTCCACCTTCCTCTGGGAAGAACTCTCTCCAGTCATCGTCTCCATTTTTGTTTCCCATTCACTTTTCAATGCAATGAACTCTTTGACTCTTTGTTCCCCCACCACAGTGGCATAGCTAAACACACTGTAATGTCTGCATTGTACTGTCATATCCCTTTCTGTGCTCAATTTGACACTTCCAACCACACACTCCTTGAAATTCACCTTGCCTTTGGCTTCCATGACCTTATTGCTTTTATTTCTCTGACATTCCTTTTCAGACTCTTGTGACTACCTCTGAAATGTTGATATTTACCCCTGGATTCCACCTTGAACCACTGCTATTTTGCTACCAGTATGTGTGTTGAGGATTTACGAGTCTGTACCTCCAGTCCTAACCTCTTCCTTTTGCTTCAGAGGTCAGGTCACACTCTATGTGTGTTTCTTAGAGCTACCTCAAAGTCAGCATGGCCTTTGCTGAATTCGTCAGTTCCCCCACTTTCCCAAACTGGTTTCTCTTTCTCTATTCCTTCTGAATTTTAGAATGGTTGGTTTTAAAAGTTGATAGTTGCAGTAGTTTCAGAATCATCCTAAAACAGCACACTGTTCAATAAAAACATAATGTAAACTACATATGTAATTAAAAAATTTCTGGTAGCCACATTAAAAAATAAAAGGAAACAGATGAAATTAATTTTTACAATGAATTTTATTTAGCCCAATATATGTAAAATACCATTTCAACATATAATAATTGCTTTACATTAACGAGATGTTTTGCATTCTTTTTTGTATTAAGTTTTCGAAATTCTGTGTTTATTTGAACACTTATGGCACATCTTAATGGAAATGAGTCTGTAGGACTCAACCACCATATGTGGTTAGTGGCTAGTGGCTATACTAGTAGCTCGTTCTAGTCCTTCCCCTCACTAATCCCACTCTCATTCACTCATCAATCTGGTTGATTTTACCTCCTAGATATTTCTTTGGTAGGTCCATTTCTTTTCAATTTTATACATCATGGCTTTAATTCACGTCCTGGCCATATTTCACTTGGGTTATTGCAATGGCTTTTATAACTTAGTTTCTTTGTTTCAGGGAGCATGCAAGATCCATTGAAATGCAGGACACTATAGTAGGATATCTATTGATATATATTTTTAACCAGAAAATATGGAAAACAGCTCAGATTCATATTTAACATTTATTTATTATACATATTGATACCAGCACCTTTGCTCTGCATCTCTGATAAAATGATATAACTAGTATATTTTCATTGAGTGTTATGATTAGCATGCTATTTGTAAGCTTTGATAGGGTGGGTAATGATCTTAGTGAGAAATAATTTAACCAGCTCCTTCTTAACTCAAAACTATTAAATAAATGTGATCATTTACTCTAAAGAAAATAAAGTTTTGATTTATGTGTACATACATGGGCTTCAAACTTCATTATGAATAAGAATCACCTTGGCAACATATTTAAATGTAGATTGTTAGGTTTCATATATACCTTCTGATTCATTTGGAATGGTAGGTGGCCCAGGAATCTCTATTTTTATAAAGCATTTGAATGATTGTAATATAACTGCTAGAAACTATACTGTATTAGTCTGTTTTCATGCTGCTGATAAAGACATGCTGGAGACTGGGAAGAAAAAGAGGTTTAATGGACTTACAGTTCCACATGGCTGGGGAGGCCTCACAACCATGGTGGAAGGCAAAGAGGGGCAAGTCACATTTTACATGGATGGCAGCAGGCAAAAAGAGAGCTTATGCAGGGAAACTCCCATTTTTAAAACCATCAGAACTCTTGAAATTCATTTACTATCACAAGAATAGCACAGGAAAGATCTGCCCCCATAATTCAGTTACCTCCCACTGGGTTCCTCCTATAACACATGGGAATTGTGGGAGTTAAAAGTCAAGATAAGATTTGGGTGGGGACACAGCTAAACCATATCACATACTTTGAGCATTAGTCTGTTCTTTGTGAAGTAGAGAGTTAAAAAACCATGGAGAAAAGTGCACTAGCCCAGACCTGAGAGGGATGCTATATGGGGGTTATAAAAGCAATAGCACACTGAAATGGAAATTGGGCACCAGGGCAATGCTGAAACCGGGAATCAAGGGTAGCAGTGGCTGGTAATGTGGAGAGAGTCTTGGAAGACCAATGATGAGAACCTTGGTCTATTCCATAATTTCTCTGGGATTGGCCTTCCTTCTTCAACTACAAAAATTGATAGTAATATAAAAATGAAATCTGATTATTAGTGTATTTTCATCTTCCTTTAGTAACTGACACTCTTTAGTTTTTCAATAAGTAATTTTTAAATATTTTAGGATGTCAACATATTGAGTAATTTCAGTGTAGGACAGTTTTTGACTTTAGAACAATATCATACAATTGCATTTAGTGTTTCATTTCTAGTTCTATGACAACAAAATTATCTTGTATAGAAGACATGGTAAATGATGCCATCTAAAAAACAGAATTTAACTTCACAATAATTGAGGTGAAAAAAACCCACATTTTTCTTAAATGCCATCTATAAATAATTTGTCAAATCTATAATCCAACTTGTTAATGTTTTAAAACTTCAAAACTCTTTAAAAAATTTTAAGATGCTACATGTTTTGTAATGTGGCAGAGAACAACCAGAAGATTTAAACCTCATAGATTTAAAATTTTACAATATACTGTTCAAATTATAAATTAAGACTGTTAAAAACACCAAACTTTTCTTTTTAGTGTATTATTTCATCTTTTTCCCTCAATGAGCCTTATTTATGGATAACAAGGGGCTAATTGATTGAATTGAGTTTCTTCTTTTCATCATTTGCTGGCAGTTCTCTGGTGGAAACCTTAATGAGCTGCAAATGAGGCAAATAAATGGGCAAGTAGGCTGGAAGGAGGGAAGGGACAGTGGATATGGAGAGTCTGTTGTTTATCCAATCAACAAAATATGTTTTAATTGTAGCAACAATGCCATAAACAGGCCTGACACAGTTTATTTGATAACCTCACTTTCAGTCACTCCACTTCCATCATCGATGAGTCTGAGATTTTTATTTCATTCATTAACAGGAGAGACTTCCCTCCACTCATCTGTGCTTTTGGAAGATAAATTCTCTAGAATAAATAGGAGTTGAGTTTGGAGGGAAAATACTGTTTTTATTGCAATTAATATCTTGTTTTTAACTTTTCTTGGCTGGACATCTAATCTGCATTGTCTTTTGTTAAACACCTTTGCTGATTTCTGCTTTCTCGTAGGTGATTCGCAAGGGGTGGCTCACCATCAGCAACATTGGCATCATGAAAGGGGGCTCGAAGGGATACTGGTTTGTCCTTACTGCGGAAAGCTTGTCATGGTATAAAGATGATGAGGTAAGTCACAGAAAGTGACAAAGTTTTCTCATTAAAGTGTTTCTCATTTTAAGTTAATTGATATTATTGTACTATGCAATTTTGAGACACCAGTGGTTCTCTTTCAGTAAGAGTAAACTTGGAATGTTTGTATAAAAATGCACTGTTATTTTCTCATAGATTTAAAATTTTATAGTATTCAACCAATTTTCTTTTTCTTTTTTATTTATTTCTTTGCTGTAACCATGTTTGCTTACTGAAGAAATGGATTTAGTGGTCAAAGTTGAAAACTTCCTATTTATAATTATGTCAAGGTACTGGTACAGTGAAAACAATTTTCATTAAATAAAGTGCTAAAAGACCTAAGGTAATAGAATATTTTAAGAGTGAAATTAATAATATTGATGTAGAGTTAACAAAGCATTTTGGAATTGTTCCTGTGACATCTGTCTCAAATGAAATGGAAGGCTTTTGAGAATGTCCACATCAGTAGTCTTCAAGTGAGTCTCAGATCATTGTTTATACAAATTTTGTTTTTTGAGAATTTGATATCTATGTAAAAGCATGAATTATGGTAATTATAGTGTTCTGGTTCATGTTAGATGTTAATAATTTTGGTCCTGTGACTTACTACTCATTTAAATATGATAGCTATAAAAGTGCAAACTAAAAACTCATATTCGTCTTACAGAGCCATTTAAGTGCTAGAAATCAATACCATTAAATGTAAGGTAGCACAGACAGAAATTAAACTATGTCTTGAAATTTTTAATAGCCCAGGTCTGACTTGATAATTTTTTGGTATTTATAATGCAGCATGCAAACATTAGGTAAGAATACTCTGTAATAGCAAAACTATGTGCAGGTGAGATTGTCTCAATTACATGAGACCATAAAGGGCATGCGTTTCAAAGTTAAAAGTTTTTCCTATCTTGGCCTGACATCTTTTGAAGGCATTACAAAGTGGCTTTGTCATTCCTTGAAGGAAAGTTTCATGTCTTATATAATTATTTTCATTTCTGAAGCACTCTGTGTGTCATAGTGTGTTGATAAATATTAGATGATTGGTTGATTGCCACTAAAATTTCTGCAGTAAGGGAAATGCAATCCTATAGAAATGTCCAAACAAAATTGCTATTTAAGAGCTTGTATTTAAATTGTTATGTCATTGACCATAGTCAAAAGTAAGATTTGATCATTGTGATAGTCTGAGGATTAGCAATGGTTTCTTTTCTGTACTGGCTGCTTAGCTATCTCTGTCATTCTGCGGGAAGCTCTAGCTTTAAAGATCATAGCTCAAGGAGCTCAGATACCCTCTCCTAGATATAAAAATTACTAAATAGATGATCTTCTTTGCTGTTCAGTTGTAATAAGGTATCTTCTGTTAGATATATTTTCCCCCCAAGGATTTAGATGATAATTGATATGCACTTATATATGTGTAAACCGTGAGACCTTTCTCAGTTATGCAGGGTCACAGAAAATATTTTACTGAGGAATCATAATAGTGTTGGCTAGTGTTTTATATACATTAATTAACTCATTTAACCACATTCAGCCCTAACTACTATTATTCCTATTGTTGGATGAGAAAACTAAAAATAAAACCTTAAAAAAAAAAGTCTTTTCTACAGGACTGTTTTACTTATTGCAGAACATTTAGTCTTGGCCAGGATAACAAACTTACCAAAGTCACACAGCTAGTTGGTGGCAAAGCAGAAATTTGAACCCAGGCTGTTGAGCTCCAGAGCCTATGCTTTCAACTGCAAATTAAGGCAAAAATCCCAGAGATGCCTGGAGTTGTCCAAGCCAACCTCATCCCACAGAGAACTTATGAAGATGATTTCCAGGCATCTCAGCATTGACATGTTCCTGGGTGTTAGCAGTAGAGACACTGAAGACTCTGGAGTAGCTACTGCTGTTGGAGTGTGGCATTAGTCTGGCTGTGTGAGTACTGAAAATAAGCCTGTTGGAAGGCACAGTATGCTCCCTGTAGGGAAGGAAGAAGCCTTGAGAGCTTGGTGAGCTCATGGTTATTGGCTCATATCCTCTCCTCCAGACTCAGAATAATTCTTTATAAAAAATCACCTGACCTTGTAGCTTCCACATGAGTACTTGATTACAACAAATGGAAAATAAATATGCACAGTTATAATATTAACCAAGTGCCATGAACATACTCTGTGTGCTCTGTATGAGCTGTGTATGAGCACACAGAGTGGTTACTGATATACCAAGGTATGGTATAGAGAGTCGTTGGGGCAGGGGAAAGTGGGAATGACCCTTGAAATAAAATGGAATGATTTAGATGAAGAAACTATAGGAAAGTGTAGTTTCATCCATTCAGATCATTTTAAGAAAGAGGAAATGACAAAGTTACTGCTCTGTGGAGCCAACAAGCAAGTAGACTATAATACAGTATCAGATAGTAAATGCTCTGAAGAAAATAAAATGGGATATTGAGTTAGAAAGTGACAGGGAGGAGTTCTTTAGATTTGGATGATTGGAAGGAAGTACTACTTGAGCAGAGATTAAGATGATGAGCTGTGCAGAAGGTTTTGCTGAAGAATATTACAGGTAGAGGGAACAGTAAGTGTAAAACCCCTGGAGATGGGATCCAACAGGAACTCTGTGGCTGTAACATAGGAACAGTGGGGGAGAAAGGCAGACTGTAAAATCAGAGGCACCAGTGGATGGGGGCCTTATCAGTCCCTACCCAATGATTTGGATTTTATTCCAAGGACAATTGAAAGTGATTGAGTGTTTCAGTGTGTGACATAATTGGATTGATGGTTTAGAAAGATTACCCTGGCTGCTGGGTTGTGTGTAATAAGTGGGATGGGATGGATGTGTGGAGGGAGTGGGGATGGCTAGCATGGAAGAAGGGAGACCAGCTTGGAATCTCTGACCATGGTCCAGGCAAGAGAGGTTGGTGGCTGGGTAGTAGCTGGTGGTGAGAGTGAAGAGCGCTTAAGTTCAAGGTAGCAAATTTATGGTCTATACACAGCTACAATTGAGTCATTAGCTGCTGTTATTCATTCAGAACTCTCCTCAAGAAATAGGAAGTAGTCATCACTAAGATGATCATTGAGACTGAAAGCTGGTCTTCGTGGATTTAAGCAGGTATAATGACTGCGGGAATGATACTTGCAATCAGTGATGATCTTGATTATGATCATCATCATAATGGCTAACAGTTATTGACTATTGTCGTTCAGTGAGCACATTATTTATATTCTCCATTTTAGAGACGAGGATTGAGGCTCAAAGAGAATAAGTAACTTAGTCAGTTGCTAAGTGTCAGTGCTATGCTTTTAATCATCTGAACATTTCCCAACAATTATTTCTGAGCACTTGTTATGTACCAAGCACTGTCCTAGTCAGTAAGGATAAAATGATTAGCAAGGAATTCATGGTACCTGTTCTTATGAAGGCTCTTTCCCAATAAAGCAAACATACAAATAAAATGGGAAAACCTATCAGATGCTGATTACAGGCTAAGAAGAAAATAAAGCCAGTGATGAGTTGACATAGAAAGTGTCTGGGTTAGAGGACACAGGTTGGGTGGTCAGAAAAGGTTTGTATCAATTTTCTGAGGCAGGATTGAGCCTGATGAATTTAAGGAAGGTAATTAAGACCAGTGTGACTGGAGCAAAAAGAGAAAGGTACTCTAAAGATTAGGATTTTCATCTTAAGAATGATGAAAAGTCTTTGAAGTTTTTAAGCCGGAGAGTCAAATGATAAGATTTAAATTATTTACCGATTCCTTTGGTTGCCTTGTGGAGAATGGATTGAAAAAGGGCAAAACTGGATTGAGGAATTACTAGAAAGCTATTGCTTTCTACATCTATTGTGGTCTGCATAGATAATGGTAGCTTGGGCTGGGGTGAGTTGTTAGAATTTGTAAAAATGAATGGATTTAAGAGATGCTTTTGGAAGCTAAAAATTTACATGGTGGAGGAGGTCAGGGTCAACCCTGTGAACACTATTCACACTCCTTCATAAGTTGTTCAGTTAGCCAAAACTTATTTTCACAAAAGTCCTAATAAATATTGAACTTTAATCCACCTGTATTTCTCATCACACATGCTAACAGTTCCAGCGAACGGTAAGCCTCCTGAGACCAGGAGACATTGTTCCCTATTCTACTACCAGGGGACACAGCACTGATAGGAAGCCCTAACTATTGATTGAATGAAGGTGTCATTGAGAAAACAAATGAATAAATGCAGCATAATAATTAATCTCGTCCTGACATATCCAGTGTCAAAATTAAATTATTAAATTATAGAATAAAATTACCATTAAAGGTAGATTGTCTTAAATTTTGTTAATTTTCATCATTGAAGGTTAATTTTTTTGTTATTTTTCTTGTTTTTTTCTTTTCTTTTCTTTTTTTTAAATCCTCTGACTATATAAATGTGACTTCCTGGATTGAAAATCATTTAAACAGAAAATTAATTTCCCAATGTTATTTTCATACATTGTCTATATGTGTTGTACAGTTTTGGAGAGGGATTTAGAAAACAGCAAGATGTGAGAATAAAATAGAAACTGTCATCTCAAAAGTTTTTTGAAATGGATTTTTGATCTAGATAGTTTTCCATCAATAGTTCAAAATCAAATTTGGAAAAAATGATGGCTTTTCTTTAACATGTCTCTAAAATGTGAATTTTAGGAGAATGGGAGACTGATTAAAGGAGAAAAGAGCCTTATTTTTCTTAAAACTAATGAGAAATTTGTTTTAAAAATACATAAATGTATAAATTTTAAGAGATAATTAGAATCTCTGAAGAAAGGGGACTGTTCATTTATGTATAATATAAGTAATTAGTCAGTGTTTATTGTATTTCTGTAGCCCAGTGTGTAAAGATTAAAATCATAATGAGTTACTCCTAGGCAAGCAGAATAATGCAACATAGGCGTTTCCAGTGGAAATCTACTAACCTTACACTATTGAGGAAAACCCAACATCTGCATTGAAATAAGGACATTCTTTGGACTCTTAAGAAATTACAGGC